TTCACCAAATCACTACCATTGCCAAAATAAACATGTAGTAGCAAGAATCAAGAATTTGTGCTTGATACATAGATGACAATAACTGAAAAGATTCAAAACTAATTAGGTTTATAAACAATGCTGTGACTGCAACCAAACATGAGCATACCAATGTGAATCTCTGAAAGCACTAAATTTAATTGTCAGCCTACATATGTGATCAAGTCGCCGGAGTGAAACTTCACATCAGCCTAGTGGCTCAGGTAAGAGTTATATATGAAAATAAAGTTCAAGTCAAACAGGTACAACAGAATCATTCAGATAAAATAAGTAATTAAAACAATGTTATTTTATATTCTTTTATCGTATAACAGTCAGGGACAGTTTTGTCTCATTCCAGTTCTTAGTATTTTTTGTTCAAAACTGCAAACTATCTTCAGAATTATACATGGTTATGCACTGCACCATATTGTCTGTTTACCCATGGCACTACCACAACAGTTTCTTTGTAAATTAATTCAGGTAAAAAACTTAAAGGGTCAAGGGATGCAAACTTCCAGTAAAATGGGGAAAGAAAGAAACTTGGAACAAAAAATTATTTTGCATTAACTTATCCCCTCCCAAAGACAATTAACTCCTCTGCTACATGTAGTTAAATCAGGAAGATAAAAATAAATCCATCGACAAGTAGGTCAACTTCAGTGACTTCAGAGTCAGCTTTCTCCCTAATCATACAGTGACAATACCTTGTCATTTTGAGTATCAAAGTACAGACAAAATAACTGCTCGAGTACAAAGTAGCAAAGATAAAATAACAAATTTTTATTCACCCAAAGGAATCAGTTTGAGATTGCTGTATTCAGAATAGTTACCATATTACTGGATCGGCAAGAAATTACATATGCTGAAAAGGGGCTTAGTGTGTTGTCCTTTTGTTCCAAGTTCCTGCGAGGTCATTGTTATGGATGGTCATCTTCTTTGCACACACAATCGACAAAATGATACTCAAACTTAAATTTCCCTGCATGAATCAGAATATTAGCTATTATTTTCTCACATACAAACTCTTCCATGACTTTCTAACACCCTAGGGGACAGCAAGAACGGCAGATGGTGGAGTCAGAGACAACACAGTGTGGAGGTGCAGGAACACAGCAGGCCAGGCAGCATCAGAGGAGCAGGAAAATTGACATTTTGGGCCGGGACCCTTCTTCAGAAATGGGGAGGGGGAAGGGAGCTGGGAAATAAATAGAGAGGAAGGGTTGGGCTGGGGAATGGTAGATGGGGTGGTGATAGGTTGAATGCAGGTAGGGAGTAGTGCAGATTCATTGGCGGTAAGGGTAGGGCAGATAGTTTGGGAAGAAGATGGACAGGTTGTGTCAGATCAAGGAGGCGGGATGAGAGGGAGGGTTGGTCATGGGATGAGGCCGGGAGTGGGGGGATTTTAAAACTGGTGAATTTTATGTTTAGGCCATTGGGCTGTAGGCACCTGAGGTGGAATGAGGTGTTGCTCCTCCAGTTTGCGTGTGGTATCATTGAGGCACTGGAGGAGGCCCAGATGGCCATGTCACCCAGAGTGGGAGGGGCAGTTAAAATGGCTGGCGACTGGAAGGCGTTGTCATTTGTCACATACAGAGCGCAGATGCTCTACAAAATGGTCCCAGAGTCTATGCTTAGCCTCACCGACGTAGAGGTGACCACATCAGGAGCAACAGACACAACAGATCCACCAACGTCCAAGACACCACCCATGCCCTCCAACTCCTCCAAGACTTTCAATTCCCTGGCCCCCAACACCTCATCCTCACTATGGACATCCAATCCCTGTACACTGGTATCTCCTATGCAGATGGCCTAAAAGCGCTCTGCTTCTTCCTCTCCCACAGGCCCGTCCAGTTCCCCTCCACCATCACCCTCATCCGCTCAACAGAACTTGTCCTTACCCTGATCCTTTATCTCCTCTCACTTCCTACTGACAAAGGGATGGCCATGGGCACCCACATGGGTCCAAGCTGTGGCTGCCTGTTGGTAGGATACATGGAACAGTCCCGCTTCCGCTGTTACACTGGCACCACCTCCCACCTCTTCCTCTGCTACATCGATGACTGTATCGGCGCTGCCTTGTGCTCCCACGAGGAGCGTGAACAGTTCATCAACTTTACTAACACCTTTCACCCCAATCTCAAAGTCACCAGGACAATCTCCGATACCTCCCTTCTCTTCCTGGACCTCTCCATCTCTGGGAACTGCCTCAAGTATTTCAAGCCCACTGACTCCCATAGCTACTACATTTCCTCTCACCCATCCTCCTACAAGAAAGCGATCCCCTACTCCCAATTCGTCCGTATCTGCTCCCAAGATGGAGCATTCCACTCCTGGACATTCCAGATGTCCTCCTATTTCAAGGACCGCAACATCGCCCCCGGTCCAGTGATAAAAAAAATGCCCTCAACCCCATCTCTTGCGTTGCCCACGCCTCTGCCCTCAAATCCCATCCCCCCAACAAAAATAAAGACAAATTCCCCCTTGTCCTCACATACCACCCCACCAACCTCCGCATCCAGCGTATCATTCTTCACCACTTACAATCCAACCCCAAAGAGATATTTCCTTCCCCACCCCTATCTGCCTTTCGTCGGGACTGCTCTCTCTGCGACTCCCTCATCCGCTCCACACTCACCACTAACCCCATCACCCCCGGCACCTTTACCTGCAACCACAGGAAGTGCTACACCTATACTTACACCACCGCCCCCCTCACCTTCATCCAAGGCCCAAAGCAAACCTTTCATATTAGAATGGGGTTCACCTGTACATCCTCCAACCTAGTCTACTGTATCCATTGCTTCCGATGTGGCCTCCTCTACATTAGTGAGACCAAGCGTAGATCCGGGGACCATTTTGTAGAGTGACTGTGCTCTGTACATGACAAACGACAACACCTTCCCGTCGCTGACTATTTTAACTCCCCCTCCATTCCCTGGGTGACATGTCCATCCTGGGCCTCCTCCAGTATCACAATGACACCACCCACAAACTGGAAGAGCAGCTCCTCATATTCTGCCTCAGGAGCCTACAGCCCAATGGCCTAAACATAGAATTCACCAGCTTTAAAATCTCCTCGGCCCTGGCCTCATCCCATGACCAACCCTCCTTCTCATGCCCACTTCCTTGACCCAACACAACCTGTCCATCTTCTCAAATAAAAACCAAAAGAACTGTGGATGCTGTAAATCAGGAACAAAAACAACGTTGCTGGAAAAGCTCAGCAGGTCTGGCAGCATCTGTAGAGGAGAAAACAGAGTTAATGTTTCGGGTCCAGTGACCTACAAGTTCTGAGTTCTGAGGAAGGGTCACCAGACCCAAAATGTTAACTCTGTTTTCTCCTCCACAGATGCTGCCAGACCTGCTGAGCT